GAGCGTGGGCTCTGGAGGCAAACTGCCTGGGTTCAGATCCCAGCTCTGCCACTTGCTAGCTGTGTAACCTCGAGCAAGTCACTTAACCTCTCTGTACTCTGGTTTCTTCATCTGTACAGTGGAGATGATAATATTACCTACCCAAAGGTTTGTGATGAGCATGAATTATTATAGGGAAAGTTCTTGAACCAGTAATAGTATCTCTAAGGCAAGGGAGTTGGAGTGGGTCCTTCTGGCTCTGACAGTTTACCATCAGTTCAAGGGGTGGCCCAGGAGCTGGGAATCTGTTATTGCAACGTACTGGAACATAGCTCGGAACTTGGTCCCTTGGCTGAGTCCCCTCCCTACCAAGCGGTCCTACCCTCAGGAGAGGGAGGCTAGTGACCACCTGTGGGAATCCTTCCAGGAGTGGTAACAGCCAAGGGTCTGGAGCCCCACGCGGCTGCCAGGAATGACTTTTTTCTCCCCTCCCCTCCCCTCCCTCCCAGGGTTGCTGAGAAGGAGCCCGTCAACAAGATGTCCCTTCACAACCTGGCTACTGTGTTTGGCCCCACGTTACTGAGACCCTCAGAAGTGGAGAGCAAAGCACACCTCACGTCGGCTGCCGACATCTGGTCCCACGATGTCATGGCACAGGTACCTACGCACTGCCCAGGCCTGCGGCTGCTGGAGGGGAGGGACAAGCCTCCCTGAGGGATGGAGAGAGGAACAGCTAGGACTCCTAACCCCCTCCCCTCCTGACAGCGGGGATGATGGTCTGTAGGATGTCACCAGGGAGGCAGGGCTCTGGACAGAGGCCCAGAGGTTGTCTGTCAAATGCTGGCTGCAATCCTGGGAGCGCCTGGGCCTCAGAAAGCAAGCCTAGGGGTATCAGAAGAATCTGGGGCCTTGTCCCCACGCATGGAAGCTCTAGCATCGCTTCCAGGGTCAGGAAGCTTCCCTAGGAGCCCTACAAGACCCAGGGCGGGGTCTGGTCTGAAGCAGGGCTGCCAAGCCAAGCCAAAGCCAGGCTCTGGAGCAGGTTGGAAGTTTCTGGCTGAGGTTGGGGAAGTGGCCCCAGGCTCCCCACCCTCTGCCCTGCAGCGCCCTCTACTGCTGAAAATGGGCAGCCACACCTGGGCTTCGGAGGAAGGGGGAGCGGGGAGCCACGGGGGCCCAGCCTGGAGAGCAGGGCTCGTCAGCGGGTCGGAGGAGGGCCTCCAGGGCGAGGGGCCCAGCCTCAGCCTGCCGTCCTCCCGCAGGTCCAGGTCCTCCTCTACTACCTGCAGCACCCCCCCATCTCCTTCGCAGAGCTGAAGCGGAACACACTGTACTTCTCCACCGACGTGTAGCCGAGCTGGGAGCGTCGGGGG